CAGGGGAGCGGCTCCTAGGTCGATCCTGCCCCTACAGATCCCACTAGGCTTTGAAGATCGACTGACTGAACACAGCTCCCAGTCAGACCAGCGAGAACCCCGCGGGGGACTCAAATCCCAGCTCCTCCCCACCCCCGGTATTTCTCTCTCCCCCTTTATAGTTAAAGCGAGGACGCCTCACTCTGCGCCCACCCGCCCGTGTCCGGCAGGGCAGACCCGGCGCCCTGGTTACCTGCGGGAGCCGCGCCGGCTGCTGCCGTGGCTCAGTGCCCCTGCCCCGGGGAGCGCCGCGATCGGCTCTGGGGTGTCCCTTCACCCCCTCGCGGGCGGAGGAAATGTGCCGGGGCCTTGGGAAGGGCCAGTCAGTCGCGTGATTACCCCCATAACAACGGGAACCAGGGGCCAGTCGCCCGGGGAGCAATGAGCGGCTCTGGGCAAGCGGGACCCGCCTGGAAACCAAGCGAGAGCGGGTCAGCCGGGGTGCGCCTCTCCCGGAGTTTTGGGAACTGCCAAGTCGTCCTGGGCCAGGAGGGGGCTGCACCCAGGGCCAGCTCCAGCCAGGTAAAGCTGATGCAGAAATACAGATGGGGTTTTGCAGACCTGTCCCACTCTGACCCCCAAACTTCTCTCTGTCCCTGGAGAAGTTCAGGGCTGCCCAAGGTGGGGCAGTGTGCCTCGCGCCCCATGTTAGAGAGGGTTTCCCTACTGAGTGGCATTATGACAGGGACACAGCACCCAACCTCAGCCACATGAAATGTTAGGAGGTCTGACAATAAGTCAGTGGCATCACCAAAAATGTTGGTGTAAAATGGGTGCAGAAGATGTCACTGGCACCTCCAGAATTTCCATGCACATCTCCAATTTATAGGATTATTTTCCCTGCTATGAGATTTCACATCCCCTCAGAGCATCTAATAAATAATACCGTATTTTATTTCAAAGCAGTAGTGTTTAGAGAGTATTTTAAAAGCTTTTTACATTGTCTATTTATAGATTGTTCTTTTCTATTTTTAGACTTGAGTCTGGGATTTCTACAGCAAAGGTTAGAGAAATATGTCTGGGTGTGGCTGATTAACAAGAAATCAATTTTTATTTATAGAGCACTTCTTCTGTGAAAGGGGTCTCCAAGTGCTGTTAAAATGTGATAAGTACAGCTTGAGTAATAAAAAGTGTCAGTCCACCACCAGATTAAAAATTTAGAACTCTACAGTGGCTTTAAAACTGATAATAGAAATAATGTTCTTGACATCCAGGGCTATAGCTTCAGTGAACTATAGCCTTAGTGCCAAAGGTTTAATATTAGAGGAGGATAAAATAACCAGGAACTGCACATTTAGACTCAAGACAATCATATATTTAGACACTTTCTAACAGGTTTCTTTTTCAAATAGTTATGACAAATACACCCCAGAAATATAATGTTGGGGATGGAATTGGAGGGGAGGGAAATGATTACAGCCTACCAGAAAGAAAAGAATAGCAGAAAAAATGATAATGTCTATACTGGCAGAATAATACATTAGTGATTATAGTAAATCATATGTGAGCCATCAACTAACAATCATAATCAGCTGTTTAACTGTCAATAGCTGGTCTTCCAAATGAGTTTAGAAACAGGCTTTATTGTAGGAGCTCATTAGTGGTAATCATTTTGAGGGCAAGACCTTACTAAAGGTATAGTCTCCTTTTGTTTAGTAGATTAAATTCTCATTGTAGACATATAATTGAGGCAGCAGCTAGGCCTTAGGGGGATATGCTCCATCATCAGAGTCCAGTGTGTACATCTCAGAAAAGTGACTGAAGCATAAGCCAGGCTTGTTGTGAATTGAGACATTCCTGGAGGACCTGCTGGGGTCTGCTATACTCCTAAAGCATGCTTATCCAGACCCCCATATCTCCTGCCTTTCAGATTATGTAGCTCCAAAGGGAAGTGTTAGTAACTCTAGATAATCATATGGGAACTGAAAAATCCCCAATGGGAGGAGTAAGTACAGAAAACAATGTTAGCTAAAACTGCCCAGCTATCAAGTATAGGTAAAATGTGTAGCATATGTGACTGCATACACCTCCCCACCTTGAGTCAGCAGACATTAAACCTTGGAACTACAAGGCACAGCCCTTAATCACTTGACTGAAAGAAGTAGCTCTATTTGCTGTTAGTAGGAACAGATGCTTAGCCTCAGGGATCTAGCCACTACAAGGGAACACAGCACAACTAGCTAGTGAGTTACACCTGCTATTTGGCAGGGGCTATGGATGTACACTCTGTGTATGACAAATAATGCTTGTTGTTACTTGGGTGCATTCAAAACCACTGAAACATACATAGTATGCACCAATGAAGTGTATAAACTGCAGAGCAGAAGTTATTGTAGGGCAAGATTAATTTATGAGTTTTCTGTAGAAAGTTCAATAGTATTCTAGTATCCCATATTGCAGTTACCCTGACTCCTCTCCAGTTCCGGCACCATCATTTCAGACTTTGGCTGAGATGGCCCAAGCAACGTATCTATGATAAATCACAAGTGTTATGGCTTGGTGTTGCCTTGTTGTTTTGCACTAAAATGTTCCCCACTCTTCTAGCAGTAATTTATAATCTGTATCAGTCATGGGAACATGGCTCACTAGGAAGAGGGCTGGATACCTGCATTTGGCAAAAGGGACAAATTCTACCTTTTGGTAGTAAATATGGATAGAGAGTTTATCTTGGGGCTTATTGCCATGGGAAACACCCACTTTTCTCCTTCTGTGATCAAGGAGCAAGTCTCAGTGAGACTTTCATTCAAATGTTCTTGTTCTTTGTTTCAAGGATCATTGAAAAACCTTCTCCCAACTCTATGTACCATGTTTTCATAGTGTGTATTATGTCCCTCTCTGGTGGCTGGACTACATAGAGAATAAGAGCCTATGATTTCTGTATGTTAAAGGAGCTATTTTTTTAGTTGAAGTGGTAGAAGTACAGAGATGAAGGTTCTACATTCCAACCCTGTTGGTGACCTATCCTAGAGGTTGTTACAGCTATTCCCAGCAAAAAAATTGTTATCCGTTGTTTATAGCCAACTTTTGGTTTTGAAATATTTAAATTGTTACCAAATACATTTTAATTAGGGAGGCAGTGTGGTTTTGTGTGAGACTCAGGAGACTTGTGTTCTGTACCCAGTTCTGTCACTGGCCTGCTCTGTGACCTTATGCAAGTCACTTTGCCTCTCCCTGCCTCAGTTTTCTCATCTATAAAATGGAAATAATCATACTGACCTCTTTAGTAGGTCACTTTAAGAGCCCCTCCTCCAGCACTTGCTGAAGATGAAACAAGGTGGCCAGCCTTTGTCTGTTCCCAATATTATAACGAATACTTAAATAGTCTAAAGTCTGCAACTAACTTTGGAAGGGAGGAATCTGATCCTGGAAAGATCTCAGTTTATGTACAGCATCAGTCACCTGAATAGTGAGCACTACAGAGAGAATAGTGAGCACTGTAGAACGTTGGCACATGCAGAAGTCAAATAGTATTCATGCAGCTTTTCCTTATTTAAAAAAAACAAAACATGGTAGTCTAGCTGTATGACAAACACTTTGTAGTTTAGACCACAAATTTATTCTGTCTAGAACAGACACACCCTTGAACCTTAACCTAGGAAATTTCTGAAAGAAAATGAGCATACATGAGATAGTTTGAATGGAAGAAGACAGAGAAGCACTAAATATTACTGCAAGAGTTTCTCCTTCAAAGACATGGAAATATGGGGCGGCTCAAGGCAGCAGCACAGCAAGCGTGTGCCTGGGGCGGCAAGCCTTGGGGGGCGGCCTGCCAGTCGCTGTGAGGGTAGCAGTCAGGCTGCATTTGGCGGCATGCCTGCGGGAGGTCCGCCGGTCCTGTGGATTCGGCGGCACTTCGGAATCAGCATGACCAGCGGACCGCCCGCAGATGTGCCGCCAAAAGCCGCCTGACTGCCGTGCTTGGGGCGGCAAAAACCATAGAGCCGCCCCTGATGGAAACTGTGCTGATTCATCCTAAGTAGGAGAGTATTGAAAACTTGAGTGCTTTATTCACTAGATTTAATAAGAATAACTGCACAAATGGGAGGTAGAACTCTGCTCCTAGTGGTGGTAGCTTCTCTGATTCTATATTCAGTAGAACCTGCCTAGCAGAAAATTATTTAGCAGTATCTGTGTATGTGTATTTAAAACTAATAGTGAGCTGGAAATGTTGAGTGATATGGGACCATATTTGCTGCTCTTTTCAAGTGAGGTTTCAGTTTTAAAATCAATGGTACAATGTCGTCCCTGGTCTTTAAAAACCGGTTTTAATTTCAATGCATGTTAGTGTGAGATTTTTGGGGTTATCCTGTTAAGAAAAAATTCCAGCAGAAACTGATCATGTTTAATTAATATATTGATTTACTAGGTAACATAACTTAAAAAATAGAAACAACTAATATGTATGTATAACCATACAGAATTTATATCAGGAGAAGTTCCATGCTAGCTTTGGGAAATCTTGTGTTTTAATATCTTCCAGTAACTTCACTTAAAATCTAAGCATATTTCAAATTGAAAAGATGTGTTTTCCCTTAACTAAAAGCCTACACATTCAACAAGAGAGCCAATCATTAAGTTAGGTTCTTATTAGCTTGCACATCATCACAGGTGATAAAGTTTCAGCAAGTTATGGAATTATCACACATGACATAGTTCTGTCAATAATAGAAAACAGAGATGTAGCTCACTCTTCCTGAGTTGTTTTGGTTCTGCAGGAATGCAAAGTAAAAAAGTGTTTTTGTTACAGAAGTCAGCAGATGCAACTCTGAATTCACACAGGGAACAGATGTGATCAGTAAAAAGATACAATGGGTCACTTTTCAGAGTAGTACTGCAGTTTAAGACAAACTTGCATAGATCCTAACTGTCTATTCAAAGGAAGGCTGTTCTCAGACATACTAACACTCTTTAAGCCTCATAAAACCTTTTATAGTCCTTAAACACTCCCTTTTCTCCCATCAGCAGAAATGGTGGTGTTCTGAAGAGCTGCCATTACAAATGCTTCCCTTGAGAGCCAAACTCTCAGCTGCAGAAGATCTCTGGTCTGAAACAGGCTTCTTTGTGAACAGGTAAGCACAGAGACTTTTATTCCCTTTTAAGTTAATGGAAAAGGCTTTTACCCCTGTTGTATTTAATTCAGAGTCTCCCTTTCTCTCCTTATACTTGCAATCCTGGAGGGGGGGACTAAAGCTGTGTTGAGAGAGTAATTTGATAAGAAAAGGAGATTCAGAAGGTTGAACAGAGTATGGATGGGCAGCCTCAGAAAGGGAAATAGAGAAATCTAGGAACTCCTCAATCTCCCTTAGACTTAGTTTCTACTGTTGGTGCTGGTCAGCATAGCCACAACCTTGCCTATAGTTCCACTCTGACATAACTAAGCAACAAGACCTCTGATTGCATTTTATTTTGCAGAAGTCAGGTCATGCCAGTGCCCGTCAAGATGCTGGCTTCTAAATGAAGTATCTCTAACATGTTAAAGAACTTCTTCTAATTTTAAGATGGAAATATAATTCTTCTTTCCAGAGTGGCTTAAAAATGGTAATCACTGTTTGTTTTTTGTTTTAGAAGTAGTTCATATTAAATAGCTTTGTATTTTGAAGCGTAAGAGAAAACAAAAGTTTTGCATTCAATTATAGTGACATTTCAGCTATGTTGTTTTTTGCCCTCCATTTTAATACAGCTCCAGCAGGAGAAAATACAAAGAGCAACAATAAAAACATTGGTCTGGTCCTGCAATGCTTACTCAAGTGAGTAGTCCCACTTACTTCAGTTGGGCTACTCACAGAAGGGTTGCAGAATTGAGTGTTTAATCAACTGTTTAAAAATTAGACTTCTACATTTAGTAGAACTCAAAAGGAGACTCAGAAAAATTCAACATTGTTGCACTTTACAAGAGACACAGCGACTAAACAAACACGGTTGAATGATCTAGTGGCAGCAGGAGACCTGCTAATGCAAATACTTAGTGGAGTGACTCATCAAAATAAACCAAAAGAAAAACATTAATCAGCTTGCTTTTTTAAAAACTTAATATCTTAAAAGCCCAAGCAGATCAGCACTAAGGAATGTCTTCAAGCAGAACAGCAAGCACAAACTTTGAACACAGTTTACACATATTAGCTGTGTTTTTGTGTTTGTTATCCTGTACTTGAATGTGGCATATCCAGGAGATTTCACCATAGAGCTGAAAGTAAAATAACATTTCTTGTTAAAACACAAATAAAACTTTTTGTTCAACTTGCAAGAGGCGAAAAGATCGGAAGTGCTTGCCTAGCTGTCTGTCTCTACTGTGCTCCTCATCATCATGGTATATAGTGGCTATTCTAGACTGGGATTGTAAACTTTTAGGGGCAGGGATTGTTTTCTTGGTTTGTTTATACAGTGCCTAGCACAACAAGCTGTGATCCTTGCCTGGGGCTCTTAGGTGCTACCACAATGCAAACAGAGTAAAACAAATATTGAGAATAACATTTTAAATGCAATTGCATTGCAAAACCTATTTAGAAGTTCTAGGACCCCATTCTCAGAAGTGCTTAGTGCCTCCAGCCCCAACTGAAATAAATGGGAACTATGAGGACTCAACGCTTTTGAAAAACAGATTGGTAATGTATCAATAGGAATCCATTATTCCCATGTGTGTGTGTCTCTCTCTCTTTTCCCCCTTTGTTTTCAGTGGATTGTATTATCATAAACTAAATGTATTCCAATGCCTATTTAGCTTGCTATGCAAGCTAACTCTTTACCACTCTAGGAAAGTGTTTAAATAAACCCTACTACTTTTAAATCTTCCTTCCTAGGAACAGTGATCACAGGATTTGAACCAACTAACTAAAGTCCTGATTCTGTAAGCAGCTGTGCTAGTGAAGAGTCCATTGACTTCAGGGTGGCTCTGTGAAGACATGAGATTGGGGAGTGATTAGGGTTACCATATTTTGTGCCTCCAAATGGAGGACACTCCACGGGGCCCCAGCCCCGTCCACGCCCCCACCCCAACTCCGCCCCCTCCCCAAAGTCTCCGCCCCCTCCCCTGCTTCCCGCGGACATTTAATTCGCAGGAAGCCTGAAGCAGGTAGGGGTA